CCCCAAAACCCCAAAACCCCAAAACCCCAAAACCCCAAAACCCCAAAACCCCATATAAGAAAAAATATATTGAAGCTATATAATTACATTTGATAATGGAGCCATTGAACTCAGAATACCACAAAGATGGAGATGACATAGAACTTCAAGACATCAAATTCGAAAGACTGAATAATTCAGGTGAGAAAGATTTATTACCAAACTTTTAAGAGATTTCAATGCATTTTATTATTTTTATTTTATCTAAAAATTACGTCAATTATTTTGTTGTGGTAAGAATCTTTGGTAATGATGACGGAAACTCCCCACTTTTATCAAACAAGTTATAAAATATAAGCATGCCCAATAGCAGCCAACTTATGATTAGGAATAAAAAGATTTAAGAGGAAATTTAAAAATTAGAATCCTGATTTTGTAAAAACTCAATTCTATCTCTTAAATCCCAGTAAATTTCCAAAACACGATTTAATCCCTTCCTTTATAGGGGTTATTATTTTTAATAAAATATTCTTCTTGTAAATTATTAATCTTACGATACAGAAATAGCAAAAGAATCAGAACGATTCGAATCCTTTAAAGGTAAGAGAATCTTACTCATTTAAATTTTGTGCTAATTTAGATCACATAGATGATAGTAGATATTGTCTCAATGCACCTGATGGCCATTACTATTATGCTCATGTAGATGACAAATCAGATTCCTTATGAGAAGGTAAGCCTCTTCAGTAAATATTTAGGCAAACTTCAGAAATTGGAAAAGAGAAGAAAAGAGCTAGACCAATTCTTGATGAGAGCTGTAGATAGCATAGATTTCAGCTATGAATTTGAGCAAGATCCATCTCTTAGATTCAATTTTCATCGAAGAGGGTATTTGATTTGCTTGATTATTGTTTCATTTGGATTGATAGCCTCTTACATTTCTTACCTGAATATTAACAACATTATTCAAGAAGCAATAAGTGTAGGAAAATTGACTGACTCAGATAAAATAAAATCTATTATCCAGGTGATCATCTATTTCGATTCATCAATAATGATATTTGTGTTAGGTACTGGCCTCGTAGCTCAGTATACAATCAAGACGAGCATCTTTAAAATGCACTCCATTCTTCTAGTATGCTCTATCTTGACCATAATACCTCTAAGCTATCTTTCAGAGATTTATTTAATAGTTTTTACTTCAAGAATGCTATGATACATCTACTGCAGATATTTGATCTCTATCATCTACAACTCATTAGTCTATCCAATCTTCACTTCAATTGAAGATGACCATCAGAGGACTCGTGCAATAGAAAGATTCAACAACTTCATAAAATTTGGGCAGGCAAGAGTACTTCAGAACTATACATCACGTTCTCAAGAGCAGTTCTCTATCTCTCAAAGAATATTCAGAATTTAGAGAATAACCACCAATAATTTTTGGTTAAAAATTTCTTTAAAGGCTAATGTTTTCTGAAGGGTTTGAAGTTAAAACTATTTCTTGCAAAACAGGATAATTTATTTTCGAAAAACCTTTACTTGTGACAATTAGGTTAAACAATCAAACAAAATTAGAGATGAAGAAGAGAATTTCAGCAACAGATCCATCTTTCTTTTAAATCTTTTCTCAATAATTAAAGATTGATGACAAAGAGATAATAGGAATTGTGCTGCTTTACTCGTGAGACTGAAGTAAGTTACTATGTTTAAAACAACATTTTGGCATTTTATTATGAATGAGAAGGGTCATTGATAAAAACTTATTAAACCAATTTTCTTGAATCATCTAAGAAGCGACAAAGTGTAGGGAGAGCAGCTTCGATATTCTATAGGAAGACAGATGTGAGAATAGTGTTGACAGGATCAGAAACACTAGCCAACAGTCTCGAGGTATCCCTCAACGTACGGTTTGGACAAAAAAACTTAGTGCTTATCATATTCTTAATTAACATAAAGCAAATTTTTACACTATTTGGCAATTTCCATTAAACATTTCCAGATTACATTCCAAATTTTAGAATATTCTGAAGAACTGTATTTTTATTAACTCCCTTGATTTATCCATTAAACTTTCATTTTAAAATCTCTTTGGTTAAATGGTTCGGTAATTGAATGAAGCGTGAATTTACTAGCTCTCGAGCTTAGTCTGCATTCACTGTGATTCCTAAGAAACCTTGTCAGCTCTATGCTAAAATTTACAAATAAATACTTTCTACTAGTCTGTTTCGATAGGAGAGCCTTAAATGCACAAGCTTGGGAATTCTAACAGAGATTTTGAACCAATTTTGTGTGGAGGTAAGAGGTGCTGCAATATAAACACATGAAGAAGAGTAATCAAAATATAGTGATTTGCTGCAATATTTTTAAAGATTTTCAATTAATTATCATTGTTTTGGGGTTTTGGGGTTTTGGGGTTTTGGGG